AGACACTCAGGGTGCTGACATCAGCTACTGGTTTTACAAAGTTGAGCCAGAAAGAACAGAGGGGCATCATTACAGCAGCCCTCTTTCACAACGTTTCTGCCTTCCCAGGGGCTGCTGAATCAGACACTGAGAGCTGGCATGAAATCATATGACCACCTTGTATGTAATTATTCAAATCAGCTCAAGTTAAAGATGAGGTCTGTATGTATCATCACATCTGGCTTCATATGTGTTTCTGACACACCAGTTGAACATGAAACATCTGTGGATCAAAGCGTACAAGAGTAAAAATTTCAAGAACCACTGGTTTATCTTTTAAGTAAGTCCTATATTTATAGCCAGCATCGTGTAGTGGTTTGAATGTTGGACTATGACTCTGGAGACCTGGGTTCAGTTCCCAGCTCAGCCATGAAACCTGCTGGGTGACCTTGAGCAAGTCACGTGTTCTCAGCCTCAGGGGAAAGCAATGGCAAACCTTAGAATCATAGAATCATAAGAGTTGGAAGAGACCACAAGGGCCATCCAGTCCAACCCCCTGCCATGCAGAAATTCCCAATCAAAGCATCCCCAACAGATGGCCATCCAGCCTCTGCTTAAAGACCTCCAAGGAAGGAGACTCCACTACTCTCCGACGGAACGCGTTCCACTGTCAAACCGCCCTTACCTTCTCAGAACAAATCTTACCTTAGGGTCACCATAAGTCGGAACCAACCTGAAGTTACACAACAACAATAATGTGATATCTGGCCTCCCAGTTCAGCTCATGATACAAGGCAGAGCTGTCAACATACAGGTCTATGCAATGACAGATTTACAGGGTAACATGAGGAACGAATGAGCCCTATGGAACAAAGACCTATTTTCCATCATGTCCCATTTAGATACCTACCCCATGCCTATCTCTAGTCATTCTTCTTGTATTTGCCAAAACACAAAATACTCTTGAGTTACTTTCATATTTTCACAGTCACACTATGCAGGAATCTAGAGTGAAAGGTCTTGACCTGGCCTACCAGAGAGATTTGTCCATCCAGGCCAGATTTGAAAAAGCATTTTTTACAAACTGGGCACACTGGACAAGTCAGCCCTAGGTCTGCATACAGGGCAATTCCATACAGTTTTCTTGACTCAGGAGGACACTCACCAAGGCCAGGAGATTACAGGCATTCCCCTGGGAGAGAGGCATTCCCCTGCCCTTCACCACTCTCGGTCACAGCTCTGATTTCTTGGCAGCTAAAAGAGCCAGCAGAAGGGGGTAACAAGGAAACAGAGTGCCTAAGTTCTGAGCAGAATCCAACAAGCAAGTGGGAAGGCAGAAAAACATACAACCCTGTGAAAGATTGGTAGTAACAGTTCCCAGCCAGCCAGCTTCTACTCACCAAGAAACAGCAGGATAAGGATGACAATGAGCACGACAAAGAAAGTATTTCCATACGCCACCACAAGCTGCACAAAGCGGGACTTGAAGATCTTCTGCCATCTGCGGAAAAAGGTTAGAGTTAGGGATCAACATTTAGGCTGTTTACATGACACACAATGCATCCTGTAGCTATTCGACTGGGGTTGGGAAACAGAAAAGGAGACGAGAAGGAGTTCTTCCTCTCAGGTGCAGAAATAATCCAGGCGACATCACTGTAATTGCCATGGCTCCATCCTATGGAATCCTGGGATATGTAGTCTGTTGTAACACCAGAACAGTTTGACAGAGAAGGCTAAATGTGCACAACTACTATTCCCAGAATTTCATAGCATTAAGCCATGGCAGTTAAAGTAGTATTAACCTGGATTATTTCTGCAGTGTGCATGCAGCCCCAGAAATGCACTTTCCTCTTAGCATCACCAAAACACCAGATTCAATTGTTCATAAGGCTTTAGATCAGGGTGAGCAGAGTGCATCTCTTAGAAACCACTTCTGCAGCCTCTGAAGGTCTCCACCAATCACCATATTCCTGTTTCTTTTATGTGATAAATTTTAGGACAATTTGCACCTCAAAGCCATACAGAGAATACCACAAACACATGAAAACTTGCAAAAACAGCCCACAACACCTCTGAATACCTCTGTTTTCCTTAGTAATCCCTCTCAAACTATTAACAGGAACATCTCTTCCAGTTGCCATTTTAAGAGGGACTACAGCATGGTGTAGTGATTTGAGTGTTGGACTACTGACTCTGGAGACCAGTGTTTGATTCCCAGTTTGGCCATGAAACCCATTGGGTGATCTGGAGCAAGTCACACGCTTTCAGCCTCAGGTGAAAGCAATGACACACCTCCTCTGAACAAATCTTGCCAAGAAAACCCCATGATAGGTTCATGTTACCATGATAGGTTCATGTTAGGATGGTCATAAGTTGGAACCAACTTGGACACACACACACAGTATTTAGGCTTGCTGTACTGGTGGAATGACTGGCTCCTGCCATCCATGCAGGTGCCCACCTTTGTTTTAGATAAAGCAGGAAGGAGGAAACAGTAGCCCTCCAAATGTTAATGAACTACTCCCATCATCCCTCATCACTAGCTGTGCTTGCAGAGGCTGTCAGGAGCTGAAGTCCAACAAATCTGGAGGGCTACTCCAGTTCTAATAAAAAAGGATATAAAAATTATCTCTCCCATCTCCAAGAGATTCTCTAATTCAAGGTTACTTTACAACAGCAGACAGCAATCTGGTACATTTAAGAGGTGTTGGGCTATACCTCTCACCAGCACTAGCCAGCATGGCCAACAGTCTATATCAGGGGTAGGCAACCTTTCCCCTTTAAGGGCTGAGGGACTTCAGCTCCCAGAAGCCTCAGCCATGTTGGCCAATAGTCCCATGTTGGCCAATAGCTCCTGGGATTCCGGGAGCTGAAGTCCCTCGGCCCTTAAAGGGGAAAGGTTGCCTACCCCTGGTCTATATGATGGAAGATGTAGTCCAAATCATGTGGAGAACAGGTTGTCTACCCTGATGGCCATTCCTACACACCTGCATAACCTGACATCAGGCAGCCACTTCAAGGTGGAAGGTATTATTTGTTGTCAACTGCCATCAAGTTGACTTTAACTGATGGCAACCCTATGAATGAGAGATCTCCAAGTCACCATGTCATCGACAGCCCTGCTCAGGTCTTGCAGACTCAGGGTCATGGCTTCCTTGATTGAATCTATCCATCTGAAATGTGGTCTTCCTCTTTTCCTTTTGCCCTCTACCTTGCCAAGCATTATTGTCTTTTCTAGCGAGTCATGTCTTATCATGTGGCCAAAGTACGATAGCCGCAGTTAAGTCATCTTGGCTTCTAGAAAGAGTTCAGGTTTGATTTGCTCTAGAACCCATGTATTTGTCTTTTTAGCAATCCATAGTATCCGCAGATAACCTTAAAGCCCCAGGAAGGAACAGTGCTAGGAAGCAAGAGGCAGACAATTAGCAGCTGCCAAGCAACTGATGAAGCTCCAGGCTTCTTTCTCAACTATGCCTGATAGTAGATTACCAGCAGCAACTGGGGAAAGGAACCCAGGTGAGAGGAAAAAAAATGTGTGGCAACAACTGGTGTGAAGAGGGAGACTTCATCATTCTATTGGTACACATTTACAGTGATGTTTGAAACACAATCCAGCTTCCTCAGACTCTCAGCTTTCATTTTAAAAACACAAGGTTCTAGCCCTCATGCCTGTGAAGATACACTTGTAAGTGCAGGCAGTGGCTACCAAGTCTCCAAAGACAAAGCAGACAAAGAAGATTTCCAGGAGCTACGAATGAGCATGAAAGTTCTCTAGGTCTCATTCCCTCTACAGAATAAACTATTTTTTTAGGTCAAATCAATGAAGCGATTTAGTACAAATAGACATTCATACTATTTGAGCAGTGACTGAACCTACCCCATTTCAATTTAATCCACTGGATTCAATGGATCGATTAAACATAGTCGTGTCACAGGGCTGACTGTGCCACAAGAAACTGATTCAGATCCTCATCTCATTCACACTAGCACTGAATCGATTCATTGTAAAAGACACAGGGAATTCAGCAGATTCAGAAGAAGCACTTTAAATGGGTTTAGTGCTAGGGCCCTCCTCGACAAACCGCACCAGGAATTCGGCGCAAGTGAGAATAAAAACCATTTAAACCACTTCAGAATTGTTTGAAAACCAGTTTATTATGTAGTGGGAATGAGGCCCTAGTTTGGGAAAGGGGAGGCAAGATCTAAACGATGATGATGAAGATGATGATGATGATAATGATGATTATATATCATATATTGTGTGGTATGTGTCTTTAAGCTGCCTCTCAACTTAAGGCAACCACATGAATTTCATAGGTTTTCTTAGGTCAGGAATACTCAGAGGTGGTTTTGCAGGTTCTTTACTTAATAAAAACAACAACATGTCCTAAATAGCTTTAGAGAAGAAAAAACAAAATTATGCAAGAAGGTAACATTAGCAGAATGATGTAGAGGTAAGTATTTTTAAACAATTATACTCCACCTAGTCTCTACTTCTAGGTAGCTAAGAACAAACTGACCTATTTAAAATTGTGACACAAGCAAAGCTGTGTCTTATTGCACCAAATACCATAACACATAGTTGTCTTCTATTCTGCACTTAAGTCAAGCAAAAAGCTTTGTTAGTCAGGAGTAACAGATCCTATTCATTGAATCATGTAAATCTGAACAGATTAGTGTTGATTTATATGTAAATCCAGCTTCTCTAGCACATAATTTGAGCTCTCTTTTTAGTACACAAGTACACAAACCATGTCCTCCATAGATCCTGGTAGAGAGATTCCTGACACAAGATCTGCCATGTACTGAAAACTTGCCAATTTTTCATGCTAAAAACAAAGGAGGTCTGAGCAACTCTTCACATAGTTCCCTTTCACCCATAAGCACACGTCAGTTATTCCAGCCTGCCGCAGATTCCCAGTAGGAAATTATCAAAACATATTATCCTATTAGCATCCAGGTGCTACTGACTGTCATTAATCCTTATAAGATCCTAGCTCAGCATCATCCTAATGTTGCATTCTGGAAACCCAAGTTGAGTGATGTCATAAGCCTACTGAACCTCTCTCATGATAGGATACTCCTGCTGTGTTGAACTACAACTCCCATCACCCAACCCTTAGCCAACTAGGGGTGAAGGGGGTTCTACTCAGACATCAGAAGTACAATCAGCTTGGTGGAGGCTGGCCCAATGGCTTTTGCACCATTCAGAAGATGCAACTCGCCATCTCCCAAACCTATGTTTGCATGCACGCAAATGACATATGCACTGTCCCCTACCCACCCTGCAACTCCTCACCTTGTTGCAGAGATGAAAGGTATGCACAGGAGAAAAACTAGGAGGACTTCTGCATACAGAAAAGTGGCCACCGTTGCCCACTGGAGACTCAT